GTTGCATCTTGTTCAACATTCCGGAGTAGTCAAAACCTAAGATGAAAACAGTGGGAGATAAAAGATCCCCTTGCTTCATGCCCCTTTGAGTTCTAAAATAACCACAACATTTGCCTTTAAATCAGAATAGTGCAGAAATTGTTTTCCAATCTCCTCCTAATAGTATTATAGAAATCCTCTTGAAAAGGCCTGGCTTTGAGGACAAAAAGAATAAAGCGCCAATCAATTGAATCATAAGCCTTTTTTAGATCAAGTTTAATAGTCAAGTTTCCCTCTCTAACTTTTTTATCAGTGTCGGTGATCAGCCCTTGACACAATAAAATGTTATCCACAATATTTCTGCCTTGAGTAAAAGCCAATTGGTTAGGAGTAATAAGATGGGGGAGATGGGGTTGAAGTTGTGTAACAATAGTCTTGCTAATTATTTTGGACATTACTGAAGTCAAACTAATGGGTCGAAATTGTTCCCAATTCATCTTCTATTTAGTCTTAGGAATAAGTGTGAAGATGGTGGAAGTGAGGAAGTATTTATGGGGGTTCATACCTCTGAAAAAATCCTTCACTACATTGATAATCGACATCTTGATAAATTCCTAACATTTCTCATAGAAATCAGCCGTGAAGCCATCGAACCCACCGCCTTATTGCTATCCATAGAATAACTGCATTCCTTATCTCCATTTCATTTGGGATCTCGGTTGCAGAGATAATTTCAGTATACCCTCTGCAATCGGTGAAGTACGAGGGGTTGATCTGGGGATGGCCAGTATTGAGACAGGTATACATCTTTTGGAAGTACTCGGTTCCACTCTTTTGGATTTCCTCATGGTTAGCATGCCAATGCCCATTGTTATCTTGAATTATGTGGATGTTATTCCTGTTTCTCAGAGCCTTGATGCACACATGATAGTATTTTGTATTTCTATCTCCGTCGGTGTGCTGAATTGCTGCAGCCTTTTGTCACAGTAAATCCTCCAGCCATTTAATGTTCTGCATGAGCTCGTTCTAGGCCTCTAAAAGCTCTTGTTCGAGTAAATCATCCTGGTCGGTTCTGTTGGCTCTAAGCCTCTCCAACTTGCTGACTTTACCCTCAGAAATGGTGATTATTGTGGACATTCCCGAACACCTCCCTACTCCAGATTTTCGGCTCTTTGGCAGTCTTCTGATGCGACATCCACTGATTTATCCAGCTGTTATTTGAGAATTTTTGCTTCCATATTTCCTGCACATAATCAAGGAAGCTACCATGGTTGGCTCACGTGTTAATGTGTAATTAAATGGTGTTTTGCTGGGCTTAGGGAATGCTGAAATAGAAAGGAATAGAGGATTGTGGTCAGAACCGGTCCTTGATAGGTGCAGATTTTCAAAATAAGGAAATGTGGACATCCATTTCTGATTTGTAAGAATCCTGTAGAGACACTTCTGTAAGTTACCTCTTTTCCGTGTGAGGTCCGAGCCAGTGTAGCCAATATCAAACAAACCAGAATCTTGTATGACTTCATTAGATTTATTCATAGTGTGTTGGTTAATGGGTCTCCCTCCCTTTTTCCTCATCCTGATAGCAAACCATATTGAAATCCCCTCCGATGAACTAGTAGTCAGGAGCAGTCCTGCCAATTTCCACCATAGAACTCCAAAGGTCAGCCCTAGCATTGAAGCAGCGGATGACATAAATGAAAGAGGCCCAACTCACGGAACCTTATAGATTAAGTTCCACATGAATAAACTGAGAGCTGTCAATTAATAACTGGACATTTAATTTCTTTTTCCAAAACAATTATACCTTGGTGCAATTTGATACCCATTTGAATATCCTTAAGTTCCTCAGTAATTTATCTCTATTTTTATGAAACATAGGTTCCAAAATAGCAAAACATAAAATCTTATGGACCCTCATTAGAGAAATTAATTCATCAAAGGAATTTGGATCCGCAATCCTTCTGATATTCCAAACTAAGATTCTAATCATTATGAGAGGATCTCCCTCTTCTAGGTTGCCTAGAAGAAGAAACACCATCCACATCATGAGATCTCATTCTAGCATCAGCATTGATATCTCCCTGGTTGAGGTTATTGAGTTCTTGTGCCCCTTTACTTTTTTTTTTCCTGGATATCTGTATTACCCATTCCCCCTCAATTTCTTGTCTAGCTTCGTTTATGGCCTCTTCATTGACAAATGGAGTTGCAATTGGGTCCCTTGGACAGCCATCCTCATCAACTTGTTGAGCTTCCTGAGTTACCTCAGCATCATTTCCATAAATTTGATTGCCAGCATTCGATGGTCTGGTTGCTTCCTCTCTCCCTTCGGCCGGAATTTCATGGTGGATGTCATCAGCTTACGTGGTGTGGTTAGCAATAAGATTGCAAATCTGGTGTTGATTTAGGGGGTTGATTAGTGCGATTTTCCTGTAATTCATTCTGCTGTATAGCCTCCGCCGTGAAGATAGGAAGATCTATGCTGTTAACATTTCCATCCTCCTCAATCCCGGGTGCACCAAATAACATTTTTCCACTGGTTGTCCGAACATTCTGCAATGTCCACAGTAGTAAGGTTTTTGATCTACAATAACAGCTTGCCAATAGCCCTTATGAGCCGAACTAATCCAAATTTCTTCTGTGACTGGTTGTGTGATGTCTCTTTCTACAAGAATTCTGGCTGCTGAGGGTCTACTAAATTTGTACGTTGGTTAATCATTCATTATCTCCTAAATTTAGGACCATTTGAAAAGAGGTTTTGTGGGTTAAGTTCGAACTTGAAAATCTAAACCATATAGGTACAATAGGTGGTTTTGACAATGGATCAAAATCTTCAGATCATTTTAAGATCTTCATAATCGTGTTCTCGTTGTAGAAAATCTTTCTGGAGAAAATCAAAGCGTAGTTTTCCTTCCTACCCAATTGAATCATGACATGCTTCCCATCAAAAAGACCAATTTCCTACTTCCAATTAGTTTTTGACCATCAAAATACTTCCTTATCAATTCCATTTTTGGGAGTTACATCTGCAACTTCCCAATAAAGGTAAATCGCAACGGCTCAGCTAATTTTTTAGTGTCTTCATCAGGAAGAAAGATTGCGGGTTTTCCATTCTTCCTACCTGATTTGCGAAGCAAAGCACTGCAACTATCCAAACCTTCATGAAAATCTTGTGGGAAAAGTAAAGTTGAGGGTTGAAACCCTGTGGAGGTGTAATGGCCTCAACAATGTCAGTGAAGGAACCACAATCCATGGATGACGAACAGCAAAATCAATGGAACAGTAGAGTTCACCCGAACTCTAGTGGAGCAGAAAACTTGAACTCCATATGGAAAAGTATATAAGTGTTTTCAAACAAGGCCTAAAGGAGGGATTAAGGCATGCCATATTCCGCACTCTGGATCAGTAGGATTTTGCTGTTAGCTTTTGCCAAGGTTCTTATAAGCGTGCTATTGAGGAAATCTGGATATAGACTGGATTTCTACTTGCAACAGCTTTGAGATGTTGGAAATCTTCTTGGACAGATTGACTAAATGCAAGAAAATGTGCGCTTATGTCTAATGAGACTAGCTTAAGTCTTATTAACTCCTAATTACACTCCAAGAAGTGATATTGTAACTTCCTATTCCTCAATTAATTACTATTTACTTTGATTAATATAGTAATATTAATAAGTGCAGTTACCTGGCCTCAATTTATCAGTATAAGGTTGATGATGATGATGATGATGAATTACTTAATAAAGGCTTAACTGATCAAAATTAGTCCAACTGCTAATTCACGTAGTTATGCATTATTCAAGTCATGATTAGTTTAAGTTAACATATTAATATTTCAATAATTCCTAAATGTTTTGATTAGTTTATATTTAGTTTCTTAATCTATATGTTGTTATACTTGCTTAAATCTTATCAATTCATAATTTGTCTCATTAAGCACTATTTATCCTAGTTAATCTGCCATCGAGCCATTATTTGTTTACGTCACCTGGCTAATTATTTAAAATGGGCAACACACACTACAATTATTTTTGTGATTCTGCAATTGTTTGTTCATGTTGATGCATCATAGGCAATTTTTTTTGTCAAGGAAACTAATGCTAAAGGGCGGGCAATGAAATTATTTTCCTATGAATTTTATTGATTTTGAAAAGTTATATAGTTTGCAATAATTGAAAAATGTATTTTAATGGTTATTGTGTTTAGTATAGATATGCATGATAGAACAGACACTAGTATTCAAAATAGTTATGAAGAGAGAGTTTTAGTCACTATTGGATTGCATAAAAAATCAACATAAATACGCTTTTCTTTTTACGGTGGTAATGGATATGCTTACAAAAGGTATTCAAATTGAGGTATCTTGGAGTGTCGTATTTAATATGAAATTTTAAATTGTTGAGACTTCTTTAAGAAGTGTATAAATGGGAGAAATGCCTATAAGATAAAGGCTTTAGAATTGTAATATTAGTGCTAGTAAAAAAAATATTATTTTTAGTGAAAAATGCCAGAAGATTAATTGGATAAGGTATATTAAGTTTAAGTATCTCTGTTTTTTATATAAAAGAATTTGAATCTGCATGAGAATATAATTTTTGAAGTTAAGTTTCGATAGTTAAAATTAAGATTAGCTTTTGGAGTACCAGGAAATAAAACAATATAAAGAAGAATTGAAGATAAATCTAATAAAAGTGCTGGGATCCAAGTGCTGGTTGATCAAGAAATCACTAGAAGACGGGGTGAGTATGACAAATAAGAACGTTAATGTGAACAGAAGCACCTTTCTTATGCTATTGAAATACCTTGTTGACTGGAATTCATCTGTAAATCTCATAATTTTTTATCTATAAATATTTTAAACTGTATGATGCCTACTTTATTATTAAACTACATATTTTCATAAATATCCGTTTGCTTTAACACAGGTTTCTTTGATGGATTTTCTCTGGTTGACACTGATGATGTCCTTTTTGTTATTTTGTGAATTCTTAAGCTAAATTATATATGTTATTTACTATATGATAGGTGGGAATGGCTAGCAAACGTATCCAAAAGGAACTGCAGGATCTGCAGAAGGATCCTCCAACATCATGCAGTGCTGGCCCTGTTGGTGAAGATCTGTTTCATTGGCAGGCAACCATAATGGGTCCATCTGACAGCCCGTATGCTGGAGGGGTTTTCTTTGTTAAGATTCATTTCCCCCCAGATTATCCATTCAAACCTCCCAAGGTTAATTTTCAAACAAAGGTGAGAGAAAGAAGAGCCCTTCCTGTAATTTAATTTTTCAATAAATTCTAAAGTAGTTTTGCTTTGTGTCTCACATGATTTAATTTCAAATTATTGCAATATTTTAATACAAATTTTATAGGAATAAGAAGATATTTGTTCTAAATAAGATGATATTTGGTATAAGCTAAATGTTGATTAAATTGTCGTAGAAAAAAATGGTAATTATATTTAAACTTCCTATAGTTTATATGAAATACCTAGTTTACTTAATACATATTTGTATGGGGGATGTTGTAAAGTTTCTTATTTTAATTGCAGTATATTATTATCTAATTTTATTTACTACAGGTTCTACATGATAAAAGGGGACAAATAAAACTAAATCATTCTTACAGTAATCATCAAATCACGTAAACTCATATTATTGCATTTCAAACGAAGTTGCACAGGTACAGACACGAGCAAGCATCGGACACACCATTAGAAAAAGCCCAAGGGCTAATATATTAAAGCGGAAAAGATACAGAAAGGCTGTATGAGAAGACCTAAAAGAAAGTCCACCTCACACAATACAACACACACAAATCCCAAATAAAGCAAAGATACATAAAGTTAAAAACCAACAAGCCACCAAAGAGCGCAAGTGTTAGGGACGTCCCACTTTAGTCCTCCATCTACCTCTAGTTCTTGGAAGTGAGTCGGCTAACAAATTGGTAAGGTGAGTACCATTGCCCGAAGTAACCAAAGTATCATCCATTAGATTCCTGAGCTTAAGTAGGTCTCCATTATTATGCTTCCTTCTTATGCTTCCTTCTTGCTGTGTAGATCTGTCATTCCTCATCCGATGATTGACTTATCTGATCAGTAGGTTCCAAAGTTAGTCGGACAGGTGTAGGCTGTTGCACATCATGATCCCCATGAGCCTGAGTAACATTAACAACTTGCTTGATCTGATGAGACTGTAGTGAAGCTGTCGAATTATTGCTACATGTAATATCGGTGATATGTTCTAGGGCAGGTGGGGTCTGAAGAATCTCCCTCTCCCCCACGATAGGAGGTTCGAAAGACGGCGAAAGACGGGGGAGCTACAACTGGGAACTGAATGGTTGTCATATTTCATACGATAATAGTGACGTCTTTAAGGGTATAATTTTGATGATCGATAGTGTCAATAACTTGAAACTGATCAGAAGGAGATGAAATCACTGCCTCTGGCGGAGCACTGTATTTTTTTTTCTGAGTTAGGGGGTGTAGATGGTGGCATTAAGAACTTGAGTGGCTGAACATACGACAATTCGAACAATACGAATGAAAAGACTCAATCACTATCTTTTGCCAATATCCATGATGTTGTGTTCCCGACCAAATTTTCTCAGAAGCGGATGAAGTGATGTCTCTTTCAACAAGTACTCTGACTTCAGATGAACGAGAAAGAACGGGAGTAGAAATGTCCGTTTTGAGTGGCTTACTATAAGTTGAGGTAATAAGTGGCTTACTATAAGTTGAGGTGAGTACAATATTTTTTGAGTAAAATAATGAAATTTCAGACCAGAGAGGCGAATCCAAACTGGAATGATTGTCGGTTTCGTCTGTGGGTCAAAATCCACAAACCATTTCAGAATATTCATTGTTCTGTTATCAATCGAGATTATCCTTTTAGCAAATAAGCGCGTGTAATCCTCGTCATTATTTAGTTGTATAAGAATGTGTTTTCCATCTAACAGTCCAATTTTCCACTCCCCAACAAGGTGCATAAGCTTAAATTTTTTATGAATCAACTTCATTTTGGGATGGTCATACAAAAATTTTTTGACCAAATTCAGTCGACAGGAGGAAGTAAGTTGAATACATTCAGCTTCTGTAAAAAAGATGACAGACTTCTCATTCTTCCTACCAGGTTTCTTGATGTCCTCCACCCACTCAAACAAAAGAGAAAAAGAATACGATTTAGGTGTACCTGAGGCATGGACACCCGCAATGGCAGCATCATACGATATGACCAAAGCCATCCCCAATTGATGGAGGTTCGACGTTAAGAACAGTGAAGAAAGCAAAGCAGAGAGCAAACTCCGAATCCATAACAGGGAGTAGGAGCGGAAACTCGAAGCCCCTACGATTTCAACTCGAGCACGAGGACGAGAGGCAACGACTGGAAAGCGCGGCCACCAGTAATTGCGCTCTACTGAGCCCGACGCAGCAGACGCACGAGCAGCAGACGACGCACGTTGACAATGGAGCAATGACAAATCAGACGGAAGTGAAGAAATCGATGAACGACGAGCAGAGCTTAATCGAAGAAGAGATGCAGTTAAGTAATAACCAGCGACCGCCATGGCGAAACCTTAGCAAAGTGTGAGTGTGAGCGGGAGCGCTATTTTATAAGTGTGTGTGTGTTAAGTGTCGTGTACCCTGGCCTATTGGTTGCATCCAAGGTATAAGACCCCTCAGATGGAGGGTTTGAATCGCCTTTGGCACAGTTGACCTTAAGGAAGTGGTGCTCAAATTGTTAGACATATTAGAGGTGGTTGGAGACTCGTATAATAGCCTCTGTCCATTCTTTAATTATATATATATATATATATATATATATATATAAATGCCGAAAAAATGTACTTTTCATTGATATGCAAACACGTACAAGTGGGCAGGTGATTCTAACGAAACCAAAAAAAATCACCTACGAGATTACACAACCCCAAAAATAATCTCCAAAAAAGAAAAATACAGGTAAAGATATAAAAATCAGTGCATCCGTTTGAGAAGAGAAGATTAATCATGGTGGGTAGGTTTTCCTCTCTCCCTTGTTCTAGAGAGGGAGTCCAACAACAAACTGTTATGTGGGCTTCCACCCGAAACTATCAAACAGTCATCTTATAATTTCCTGAGTTCTAGCATCCCTTTTTTCTTCTTCTTGGCTTTATAAATATTCTATTATCTTCATCTTATAAATTCCTGAGTTCTAGCATCCCTTTTTTCTTCTTCTTGGCTTTATAAATATTCTATTATCTTCCAGTGCATGTCCCATCTGATCAATAAATTGATCATCAATGGAGAACTCACCCTGGTGGGTCTGTTGATCCGTAACTTGCTGAGCAGTTTCATCCTGTTGCACACCTTGAGCTTGGCATGCCTCCAGTACGTGAGTACGCTCTTCTTCTGCAAGAAGTGGTTCCATATATATTGGGATATCATCTGCTACAACCAAATTAATGGCAACAGTCGTACCCAGTGAAGGATCAAAAATCTGAGTAGGCTTGATTAGAGAAGGGTTCCCATCAGGTTTAATTGGGGGCAGTAGCAGTAACCTCCCTAGTTGCATCTTCCACCATAACAACAATTGGAATAGATGGTTCTTAAGTAGTTTGCTTAGCCAAATCAGTGACTAAATGGGTAAATCAAATTGCACTGGTCAGTTAGGTCTCAAATTGGGGTGGCGCCTGAAACATTTATCTAGTGTGCCCAAACATCTTAAAATGGCTGCAATATGGTCTGTGTTCCATGAAAATTCGTTGTCAATGCCTATTATGTTTAGTTCCAAGTCAAATTTCTTCAATTTCAGGTAAGATAATATCTCTCTCCATAACGATCTTGGCAACAAAAGGTTTTGGGAGATTGAAAGTAGGTTATGTCTAGTTTCATAGGTCTCCCAAGTGTAGCCCCAATGGAGTAAAAAACTTGATGGTTGAAATAATGTAGCTCAAGATCAGATAGCTTAAACCAAATTGGTACTATAGGTGGTTCTTGGCTTGGATCAAAATCAGAAGACCACTTGAGCAACTTCATATAGTTTCCATCAATAGTGATGTATTTCATTGAGAAGACATTAGCACAGTCTTTTTTCTTTTTTTTGCCCTCTGTAATGGGATTCGATTACCCCAGTGGAGGGTGCAGTACTTGAATTGTTAGACGCATAGAAGATTTTAGAGGCTCGTATAATAGACTTAGGCAATTATTTTTAATATATATATATATATATATATATTAAATAAATAAAATATTAAGAATAATTCAAAAAGAAAATAAAAAAGTTAATAACATTAACTTTCAAAAACTAAAGCTCGTTTGACGTCACTTTTGTTTTCTGCTGTAGCTGATATAACTTTTAAATATTTTAAATTTTTATTTTTAAAAACAAATTAATTTGTCTTTAAAAATAATGAAATCATATAAAAATATTTTTTTTAAAAATAACTATCTCAATCAAATATATTTTAATTTAAATCAAAACATAGAAAAATAAAAATATAAAACACATTTGAAAGTGATCCCAAACAAACCTAAGATGTTCATAAATAATTGTTTAGTTTATAACATATAAAAAGTAAGTATATATTGTAAAACATCAAAATTTAAGTTCTTTTAATCAACTATTAATTGAAAGAAATAAGAGAAACATTGGCTTTTTAGCACCGAATTCTTATATATTTGCATATCTAACATCTAAATTTTGATTTTTACATTTAAGCCGGCCAAATCTTTCATATCAAATCTAATATACTACTATTTTTCAATTTTAAAAAGTGAAATAGATCTTTTCATGTATATGGAAGATGACATATATGTCAGAGTAGAAATTTAGTTGTTAGATACGTACAACAAAAACAACAACAATAAACCTTTATCCTACCAAGTGGGGTCGGCTACATGAATCCTTTTACTTCATTGCGTCCTATTGAGTGTCATATTTTCATTTAATTCTAATAAATTAAGATTATTTTTTATACAATATGCCCAAGTCTTTCTTGGTCAACCTCTGTCTTTCTTAACATATGTCGAATCTAAAACATATGTTCTCCTAATTGGATTATTAGATGGTCGACGTTTAATGTGACCAAATCATCTAAGACAACTCTCTAATTTTGTCCGCCACTAGAGCAACACCAACCCTATCATTGATATATTCATTTCACATTTTGTCTAAGTGTAAAGCTACTCATCCACCTAAGCATTCTCATCTTGGCAACACTTAACTTAGTTTTATGTTTCTCTTTTTAAGCCCAACATTTGCAGGTCTCATCACCATCTTATAAAATTTTACTTTAATTCTAAACGGTAGTTTGCTATCACACAATAGGTCTGAACCATTCCTCCACTTCAACCAACTTGAATTCTGCTAATAACATCCCCATCTATATCAACATCACTTTGAACATTAAACCCGAGATATCTAAAGCGTTCACACCTTTTAATAATTTGATCACCCATAGTTACAACTCTGTCACTAGAGCTACTACTATTACATTTACATTCCATGTATTCAATTTTTCTACTCAAATGAAGGCCTTTAAACTCCAATGTAGACCTCAATAATTTAAGTTTTTCTTGAGCTTTCTCTCTAGTCTTATCCATAAGAAGGATATCATCAGCGAAAAACATACACCAAGGTACATCCTCCTGTAAATGTCCAGTAAGAGCATTCATAACTAAAAGAAAAAGATATGGCCTTAAAGTCGATTCGTGATGTAATCCAACTGAAATAGAAAAATATTTGGTCAATCCCCCTTCAGTTCAAACACAAATAACAATTATAGTATACATATCTTTAATGGTTTGAATCTAAGTCATAGCAACACCTTTCTTCTCTAGAACTCTCCAAAGGATATGTCTTGGAATATGTCTTGGAACCTTGGAACCTTATCGTAACCTTTTTTTAAATCAATAAAAATCATATGTAGATCCTCCTTATTCTCCTGAACTTTTCCATCAAACCATTCAATAAATGTATAGCCTCCATGGTAGACCTGCCCGACATAAATTCAAATTGATTACGAGAAATCTTTGTAATACGTCTTAACTAGTTTCAATTACCATCTCTTATAATTTTAAAGTATGACACATCAACTTAATTCCTCTATAATTTGCACTCTTGCGCATCCTCTTTATTCTTAAAAATGTGAACCAAAATATTCTTCCTCCACTCCTCAGACATCTTTTTAGTTTTTAAAATAAAATTAAAGAGTTTAGTATATCAAGAAACTCTCAAATCTCCTATATATTTCCACACTTCAATTGAGATATCATCAGGTCCTACAAACTTTTCACTCTTGGTTTTCTTTAAGTCTTCATCAACTTCTTTTTTACTAATGTGAAGGTAAAAATAAAATATTTTATTATTATTAACGGTATTAGGATCACTAAGGTCAATCATATTTTTTAGAAACTTCATTAAAAAGTTTATCAAAATAACTCACTCACTTATATTGAATATCTTTTTCTAAGAAAAACATTTTTTTATTTTAATCTTTAATACGCGTTACAGAAAAATTTAGTGAGTATGTAAATCTTAAATTTTACATAAAACATATAATTTTTTAGGTTTTAATCTTCAAATTTTTTTTCAAAAATTTTAATTCACTAATCTAGAATGGGCGTCTTCGTTTTTTTTTTTAAGTATTTAGATCAGACACTTATATGTCGTGTCTGACACTGCACGGCTCAAATTAGAAGTGTTTGTGCCTCATAAATTTTAAAATAAGAAATTCTCACCATCATTACACATCGATATATGAAGTTATTACTTTAGTAGTAAGTTTTATTATGTTTGTGTATACTATGTTTGATTTTTCTTTCTTTTATTTTTAATTCATTTCTTTTTTGGTAAAACACAGGCTTATCAGAAGGCATTAAAGCTGTGGGAAAGTATTTAATTATTACATACATTAATATATATATATATATATATATATATTGCTCGATTTCTTATGCGCATTTTGGCCCTACGATGAGAGCCCGCGCCATGTGCTTAAAATTCCAGAGCCTCGCTCTGGAATTTTAGACACATGGCGCGGGCTCTCATCATGGGGTGAAAAAGTGCATGTGAAATCGATATTTGAGCGTCTACCAAATATCTATCTCCTTTTAGAAATATATATATATATATTATATGTGTGTGTGTGTGTGTATTTCTTTGAACCGTTTGCTGTGTGTTCACTAATGCTTTCTTTGAAAGGTTCTTATTAGCTGCTAGCAAGGTTTGTCAATATAAGTTATGTCTTTCAGTTTATATGTTGAATTTGATTATGAACCTTGTTTATAACATGGCACTTCAGAAAGGCTCATCTATTTGAAAATCTAAAGGGAACCATAGCCAAAGTTAATATTTAGAAATCAGTAAAGCAGGTTACCTGTAACAAGGATCACTACCGCAGGCTTTTCTTTATGCTCACTGGCAATGTATGGACTTTTTTCACATGGAAATTGTTTATTTGTATTCTTTTTATGATCTAAAAGCTGTACGTACACCAGCCAATTGTGATTTGGTTCTCTTATGGGCCATTCGGTTTTATGTCGTGAATAAATAAAGGGGCATTTACATACAGACCACATAATTCTTATATATTTACATATCTTACACCTAAACTTATATTTACATGCACAATGCTTAAATCTTTAATATTACATAAAAAATATCACCATTACTTACTTTTAAAATGTAAAATACATATTTTCATGCATTTGTTTATAACGTCATAGTGTTAGAAATGTAAATATGAAATTTCAAGTTTTAGATATATAAATTTATTCAAATTGTCTGGCATGTATGTAAATTTCTCTAAAACAAAATGGGTGCAATGTATTCGAAATGTAGGGACTTCAAAAATTTTGATGTTTGATTTGAAGCAAATAGAATGCAAAGTAAAATTTCCTGGAATTCTAAACTCATGCCATAGTTTCTTTGTGATATATTCTAAACTCAAACAATGTGGCAAATTTCGAATACACTACAAGCCAAGGCTGTCACCATCGGCCGCCGCCTCATTTGCCACCATTGTCAGCTGCCTGCTATCGCCGTTTGCAACTTGTTGCCCCCCGCTTTCCTCAGCCACTTGTTGCCCACCTTGTCTTGCTTGACATTCCCTCTATCCTCTTACTAAACATTCAAAATTTTTATCTTGCTTGACATTCTGAATTCAAAATTTTTAACTTGTTGACCTGTCCATACATCCTTGTCTTGCTTGACATTCCCTCTATCCTCTTACTAAACATTCAACATCCTTGAAACATACCAGGAGATATGATAAACCAACTACTTTCCATCATGATTTGTTGATTGTATATGATATCAAAATGATCCATTGCCATGATTTCCGCAGGTTTACCATCCAAACATCAACTCCAACGGCAGCATTTGCCTCGACATTCTGAAGGAACAATGGAGCCCTGCGCTTACTATATCCAAAGTTCTCCTTTCTATTTCCTCCCTCCTCACAGATCCAAACCCTGACGACCCTCTTGTCCCGGAGATCGCCCACATTTACAAGAACCAGCGCAGCCGATACGAGGAGACTGCGAGAGTATGGACCCAGAAGTATGCCATGGGCTGATACAAGTGTATTTATTTATCATGATGGTGTGTGTGATCCTTTAAATTTTCTATGTTTGGATGTAAAGAACTTGTTTTGTAATGTCATGGAACTGGAAACCCTCTGGTTTGTAGACTTATGACATACATAGCACTCAGTTCTTGTCTATTTACACATCTAACACCTAAACTTCACTTTTTACATATATTTGCCACTTCATCTATGCATGAAAAGGTGCACTTCACTTTTTAAGAGGCAAAATAGTGGTCATTTTGATGTCATATGAAAACTTTGGATGGTATAAATGTAGAAAGCAAAGTATAGGTGGTAGACATGTAAATTCGTAAGAATTGGGTGTTCTGTATGTAAATGCCCCTATTATTATTTGAGGAGCATTTGAGCTGCTTGTGAGAAGAAGAATTTTGTCATGTTGCAAATTCCTCCCATTTTCTTAGTTAGGCTTACTGATTTCTCATAGTAGATATTTTTTGTGACATTTTCATGGCATATGTAAGCTGTATTTAGTGAATTTGGGAAATGTCTCTGTAAATTAGCATTAAGGATTTATATGAAAATATTTTATTCATATCTTATAGTTGTGGGAGCTTATTTAAAGAATGGAAATCATTTTTTGATGTCCTGATAGGGGTCAATTTTATCTCTATTGTTTTCAGTGGTACCTATTAGTTTTATGGTGGTTATATAATATGTTAATATTATTCCTTCAGACTTTCTGTGACTAACATAACTATTTTAGCTAAATATGAGTCTTAAATTGTAAAATTAATATAATCTCTGCATATAACAATATTTTTTTTAAAAAAACCCAATGGTTGATATACTAAAGAAAAAGACACAGATAGGTTTGTATGAGTGGGCCTAAACACCCAACCCATACGGTACAACACATCAAAAAATGTAAAAGATGACTACATATAGAAATTAAAAAACCCAAAAACTACCTAGGCGCTAAAAAAGTGTGTCATCCCAATAAAGTCTTGCCTCTGGCTCTAGTTCTCGATAGGGATCCAGCTAGCAGATTGGTAGAGTACTGATCATTACTCGCAGTAACTAAAGTATCATTCATAAGACTCCTGAGCTATAGTAGATCTCCATTCTTCTTCTTCCTTCTGGAAGTATAAACCTGTCATTCCTCCGAAGAATCAACCTGATGGGTAGATCTAAAGCAGAAGGAATACCAACAGTAGTACCCACAATAGGTTCTAGAATATATATAACAATATTTTTTTAATAAATGCTCAAGAAATTAAATTATACTCTTATAATATTTAGATGAGATATTATAAGTATATAAAATGTTAAGTTACTTTTGAATGAACATGTACACAAAACATGCGTTGTCAAAACTTATGCGCAAGATAAATTGGTCGAAGCATTATAATGGAAACTTTTTGTCCAATGATGTGTGTTATAAACAAATGAAAATGTGGCATAAACAAAAATCAAAATGTGATAATAAAAATGTTTATAATTTGCGTAATTATTAGAAGGCTAGAAAGGTATCTTGAATATAGTTTCGTTGAATAATTTTTAGCTATTTAAAATTTTTAAGTTCTAGCATACACTTTTTTTTAACAACTGAAATTTAAATATGGTGATAATGGTTTAAAGATAAAGGGCTAAGAAATTGTAGTGAAAAAAAAATTAAATGCATAAAATTATTCCAATGAAATGTAAAATTTATAAATTTTCCTCAAATATTATTGAAAAATTATGTGATATTCTGTGTGTTTTAAATCTAACATACAAAATATAACTCATTTAGAAATGAAATTTCTAGTAATCAAAATCATGTTTATAATATATATATATATATATATATATATATAATAATATCAACAATTATGATACTAATTACCAAGATTTACATACATACCAGTCAATTCCTATTTATTTGCATATCTAATATCTAAACTTCAACTTTTACATACATGCCATCGGAAAATATTTGCATACGTAAGACGTACACAACGCTTCAGAGGGTACAAGGAGGTTATATCCGCATTATACCTCTTGTAACCTTTCTGCAATTTACTTGTACCTACCAGAACTACAGAAACGCGAAACTTATTTGTAAGGTTACAGAGAGGTTACAGGGGATAAAACATGGATATAACCCCCGTATACCCTCTAAATAACCTCCCGACGTACGCAGCGATGCGTACGTCTCACGTACGCAAATATTTTCCCCTGCCCTCATATTTATGCATGAAAAGGTGCATTTCTCTTTCTAAAAACAGGCTTATTTTTTATATGATATAAAAGAATTGTGTGGCATGAATGTAAAAAGTAAAAATTATGTAAATACATATGAATTGCTGAATTGGGTGGTTTGTATGCAAATGCCCCCAATAATAATGATGCAAACATGCAATGCATCACTTCTCTCACATTATGAATAGTCATGTTTTATGTTGCCGAACCATGTGAAATGTATGCTCAAGAGATATGACATTGAATTTATATAAAACATTTTCATACTTACAAATTATCATTCTTTATAAGAGCACTGTTTAGTCCAATAGTGTTCAATTACATCATACACCAATAAAATATCCTATAAATGCTAAAAAGATGATGGGGACAAATCTTTCAGCTTTTACTTGGTATTTTGTTTACTATCTCTGATATGGAACATAAGCTGCAATGAGAGTTATCTACTAAGTTTAAGGAATCAAAGCTAAACAAACAGCAAACAATTGGATTGAACATGAATGCGTACCTTTACTGCTACATAGAATGACAAAAATATGAAACCAAGCACCGGAAAGCCTGTCCTTACAAATGTAAAAGAATAAAATTAAAAAAAAAAAATCTGATTTAAACACAGCCTTACAAAAGTGCAGGGAATATGGGGTGAATTATCATACCATCCCTTCTAAAAAATCGGGAAATCAACAAACTTGTTCCTGAAGGTCCTGCAACATAGCCGACGAGATTTGCGACCTGCCAAACATGTTCAAAATAAAGTTAGCCATGTCACGGGCCCGGTGGTTAGCGAGAAGATTCTTTCTCTAAAAGATCACTAGTTCAAATATTTTATGATTTATTAGTCACTATTCGCAAAAAAAGCATCAAGCATATTGCCTTTGTCTCAATTCAGAATGTTAAGAGTTGAGCATTAAATTTTGAAATATTAAAAAAAGGGGCCATTTACATACATACCACCTATTTCCTATGTGTTCACATATCTAACACCAAAACTTCATTTTTTTATGTTTATATCACCCAAATCTTTCATATCGCGTTAAAAATACCACTATTTTAACTTTTAAAAAGTGACATATACACCATATCATGCATAGGTAAGGAGATATAATGTGTTAGGCGTTTGATATGTCAATACATGTAATTGAGTGGCATTATGTAAATCTTCAAAAAAAAAAAAAAAAAAAAAAAAAAAAGAACTCTACATAACTACACATGCTGAAAGCATGAATAGTTTGTTATTTTACTCAAGGATGCCTATTAAATACCCAAAACTAAAGCTACTTTGTTCAAATGATATGTATGCGTGCTTGAGTGCATGTAAATGTGACTGGTTTTCAGTTTTCATTAAGATCCTTTGCTGTTTTTGAAATATTTTGTATAAGAGGCAGTTCCGAGTGCTGCTGGAGAAGGATTTCCTCAGAACCTCCCCACAGCATGTTCCAGATAACCAGAGAGAACGTTAAGTTCCAAAAGTTAAAAAGTGAACTTGTTCGGACGCTGACGCTGCAGGACCATGGCAGATAAACAGTAAGATTTACAAAAAGAGAAGAAATATTGGCACGTTTCCACCAGAATTCTAAAAAGCAACTTAATCCAAATTCCCATAATTTAAAATAGGAAAAATATAAAAAATAAAAATCCAATTTCTCATAAATTATACACATTCAGATTTATTCAGGGCAGCTGCAACTTGGAAGATTGGTTGTAAGGCTATTGTGGGAAAAAGTCGAACATTAGTTTCTTACAATTACTATACTTTTTTTGAAAAGCTGTGCAAGTATTTGAAATATTTTCATTTTCGAAAAAGTCAAACATTAGTTTCTTACAATTACTACACTTTTTTTCCCACCACACCCAAAAGCATGCATACCGCATATGTAAGGCCTTGAACCCAAGACCTTTTGGTTGAAAGACAACTCTCAACCACAAGACTAAAGTGGCTTTCATAATAGATTAGTTCTTCAAAATAACTTTCCACCATAAATATTTTTAAAAAGTAGAGGTCAAATAGATAGATAGCTGTGGTACAAAAAAATAAAATAGCGAAAAAGCTACGAACAGAACCTTCATGTGGAAAGAATGTTGCAGTTCTAAAGACTGCTACAAGCATATCTAGGTATAAATTTTAAGAACTATTCATTAATCATTAATATAAATATACATGGTAATGAACCTAAAGCCATCTGATGAGAAAGTTTGAAGTTTGATGTTTGACAAAATAAAATAGAACCTACACCAAGGTAATGTAACTAAAATCATGGATAGTTCCAATTTTTTTGGATTATAGTTTGCATTTGCTAGATATAGTGTTTCATAAAGATTACGTTGCACAAACTTATCAATTATGATGGAAAACGGCATAAAGGCATTGTTCTTAAGAGAAAGGCCAAAACTTAATTTAACTATATTGTTAAGTAGGTGAAGATTGACAGGAATTTACCCACACGCCAAATCTTACAACTCAACTGTGGAGAAAAGGGAGCAAGCATTAACAAGTCAAACAAAATGAGACTTGCTGCATAGAATTTAGCGCCTCGCATTTTAGCGCCCCGCGTCATGGGCGTCTTAAGCGCCCCGCGTCATAGGCGTCTTAAGCGCCCCGCGTCAGTCCTCGAGGTTGGGGAAGTTCCGACCTCATTAGTCGAAACTCCAAGTTCTTCAAAATACTATGTCAGGCCAACAATGGTAATGTGGCTGAAACGTTGTACTCTCCGGGCAGATCAATCTTATAAGCATTGTCATTCAGCTTCTGAAGCATTTTGAAAGGTCCATCTGCTCTCGATTTAAGCTTCCTGAATAATTCTACAAGAAATATTTCCTTCTTTAACTGAATCAATAAGAGGTTGCCTTCCTGAGCTATTGCTTTTTTTCCTCGATTTATTTGCTTATGCTTAATATTTGCAGATATGCTTGGCAATCTCCTTGCCAACCTCTCCATGGAGCTTCTGAATCTCGATAACTCATTATGTGGCGTACTCGTTGATTTCTGAGGATGGCAGGAGAGGTACCAAATCAATTGGTGAAAGTGGATTGGATCCGTACACAATCTCGAAGAGAGTGTGTCCAGTAATATGGCTGATGGATCGGTTGTAGGCGAGTTAAACTTTGGCTAGAAAAAAGATACCACTGCTTTATATTTTTCCCTATGAAGCACCTCAGGAGATTTCTGAGGGTCCAATTTACTACCTCTGTCTGCCCGTTTGTCTATTGGTGAGCTGCTAAGCCGATTGGAGCTTGGTGTCAAGCTTTGCCCATAGTGTCCTCCACAAGTGGCTCGGGAATTTGACGTCTTTGTTGGAGGTGATGGACCTGGGAATTTTGTGCAACCTTATAATCTCCCTGAAATATAGATTGACGATATGAGAGGCGTCTAGTGTACGATGACAAGTAACGAAGTTAACCATCTTGGAGAACTTGTTTACCACAACCATTACGGAGCCCTTGTTTTCTCAAGATCCTTGGAAGTCCCACCACGAAATCCATGCTGACGTCCACCCATGATGCCTCTGGTACTGGAAGTGGTGTGTACAACCATGCGTTCTTAGCCCTTGTCTTTGCTAAGTGACAAGTCCTGCACAGTTTAATATGTCGCTCCACATCTCTCCTTAGCTTGGGTTAAAAAAAATGCTCCCTTAAGAAGGCGAGAGTCTTGTCCTTGCCGAAGTGTCCTAATCCTACATCGTAGTGGTGGGATTTTTTTTATTTGAGGACCATTATAGATCTCAAAAAATTTCTATCTAAATGATACGTCATTCGAAGAATAATATATTTTCTCCAAAGATAAAAATATTACCTCAGAATGGATCTAATCATTCAGATGAGAAACATCTTTGAGATTTATCATCTGCAGAACCAGACTTCTTCCCTTACCCATATGAGTGTAAGATAAGGTTTGTTTTAATTTTGGGGCCTGGTATCCCTACAAGGGGCTCCCTCATAGTTAATTACATCTCAATAATTACTTTTGAAAAAACTCTCGATTAAAGGTATGTCTTATATCTTTCATATTCATTAATGAATGTTTATAAGATGAATAAGATTTGAAGACTTCAATAAAAAGGATAAGATTGAACATAAGTTGAGTTTAAAAAATTTTAACTCTTAGGGGTGAGCTCCACATTTGACAGTTGGAATGGTATAGAGCTTGAATTAAATGGTCAGATTGAGAAATAATTTGGATTGGATGGGATTTGGTCTTAAGTTTGAATCAAGTTTGAAGTTGGGTTTGGATTTGAATTGAATTGACTTAGGTTGAAATTGGATTGGTTGAGATTGATTTGGTATTTGAATTGATAAGCTTTGGATCATATTGAAATTTGGGTTTGAATTGAGTTTGGATTGTGTTGGTTAAAAAAAAAACTTTAAAACGATTGAGTTGAAATCATATTGGATTGATTAAGTTTACTTTGCTTAGGATGAATTGATTATAAGATATCCTAGTCTAAAGGGTAAGAATATGGATAAGATTTCCAGATAGAGATGAAGCCCTAATCTAAATAACTCTAAACAGTAGACTAGGCAACCTAACCAAAATTTGAGAGTAACGCACCAGCTCAAGATGGTCATGATTTTCCATTATCCAGGGTACATTAGTAGCCTCAGACAATTAACTACTAGAATAACATGAGTTTTCCCTTATCATCGTAACGATGACTTAAGGTAGTCCTTACCGCCATAAAAGTGATTGTGAGTATCTTCGTCCGTAGCATGGGCTACTTCATTCTAGGATACTCAATCTTCGAGGGTAGGTCAATTTGTTTTATAGGTCCTAGTCCTTAGTTCTAATCTATGATAGGAATCTAGTAACTAACATAGGGCTTCCAGACTGGACTAATCTAAGGTTTGTGTATGGTCCTGGGCTTTTACCTTTGTTCGCTACCGTAGGATCATAGTTTAAAGCTATCCTATGGGGTGGCTTACAAAAAAATAGAGTTGGTCGATTTTAACTGTTTTGGGGGTTTAATAATTAAACGTAATTTGTTTTTTCGTAGAAATCGTTGGTTATGATGATAAATCAGGATTTTGTATGGTTGTTTAGTTATTTTTCCATTCTCAGTGAGGTTCTGGTCAAATTATCAATCAGATATTGTTTTTCCACCCTAAGGTTCTGTTTTCTTCCTAATATTTTGTTCTCCCTCCTCAGGTTCTAATTGGGATAAAAAATGTATATTCTGAATAAATGATGTTAAATTCCTTAATTTAAAGCTCTCAAAATAAAGATTTACTGGTGTTCCCATTACAATAATAAAAGTATTTTTCATACAAAAAAAATTTAGATTTTTTTGAAAATATAATTTTTGTCAATAAAAAATTCTTGAGAATATAAGTTCATCAAGATAACCCAAAACTTATATACTCAGAATCCTGAGACTACAAAATCATGTTTGTGAGGAGAAACATATTCATTCATATGATCACTCACTCTGCTGAATATGTAATTCTTGCTTAGCCTAAGCAAGTAAAGGGAGTCTGATAAGCTTATATATATTTTAAATCCCTAAAGCTCAAGAGGTTTTTGACAAAATATTACCTTTTGAAAGAATGGAGTTTGATTTTCAAAGGAAATGATTTCTTTTAAAGAAATGATTTCTTAAAGAGGAAACTCTTGAAGAGATATCTTTTAAAGTTCCTAAAAAGAATCTTTAAAAGAAATTAGAAAAATGTTTTAATAAGTTTTTTCTCTTAAAAGCAAAATCTCTTCAAGTTTTAAAGAAAAGACTTCTTAAGAGGATAAG